CCTGTAGTCCTAGCTACTTGGGAGGTGGAGGCAGGAGAATCGCTTGAGCCCAGGAGTTGGAGGTTGCTGTGAGCTGTGATGCCACGGTTCTCTGCCCAAGGCGACAGCTTGAGGCTCTGTCTCAAAAAAAACCCCCTAAAACAGCAACAAAGATGAACCAAGTAAAAAATTATGGACCCTAACCTAGGATCTATCTCACTTGTGTGATTTAAGGCAATTTATAAAAAACTTTTAATAGGGCCAGGCACAGTGGCCACAGGCACTGCAACCCTATTACTTTGGGAAGCCAATGAGGGAGGATCACTTGAGCCCGAGTTTGAGGATCAGCCTGGGCAATAAGACGACTGTCTGTACCCCCCACCCCCCAAAATTAGCTGGGCTTGATGGTTCACACAAGTAGTTCCAGCTATTTGGGAGGCTGAGGCAGGACTGCCTGAGCCCATGACTGGAAACTGCATGAGCTATGATGACCCCACTGCACTCTAGCCTAGGCAATAGAGACCCTGTCTCTCTAATGAAACAAAATAGGGCTAAAAATACCTTCACTTCCTATCTTCCTTATGTATATTATGGTATGTTTTTGAAATTGGTATAACTTGAAAGGCTTAAACTTCATTTCCATACTTTTTTAATTAAGACAGTCTCACTATGTCACCCTGGGTTGAGTGCCGTGGCCTCACAGCAACCTCAAACTCTTGGGATTAAGTGATTTTCTTGCCTCAGACTCCCGAATAGCTAAGACTACATACAGGTGCCCACCACAACATTTGGCTATTTTTTTTTTGTATTTGTTATTGCTGTTTGCTAGTCCTGGGCTGTGTTCCAACCTGCCATCCCCGGTGTATGTGGCTGGTGCCCTAGCTACTGAGCTACAGGTGCCAAGCCAATTTCCATACTTTTAGATGAATTAACTTTATATGTAAAGTTTTAAGTATATGGCAAAAATTATGTGATGAAGTCAATGTATATAGGTAAACAAACTTCATATCCTAGTAAGGAACTAAGGAATCCAAAACATTTTGTGATACTATAAAAGTTATTTATTCACTATACACAGAACATGTCCCCTATAAATGTACATGTAAATCACTAAAAATTATAATCTGGTGAACATTTTCTCAATTACACAACATACTAAATCAGTTGGGACAACA